TTGCTTTGTTTTAACATCTATCTATCTATCTATCTATCTATCTATCTATCTATCTATCTATCTGAGTATTCTATTTGCATGTTAAGCCTGCATGACATTAGAGGGCATCAGAACCCATTACAGATGGTTGTGAGCCACCATTGGGAATTGAACTCAGGACCTCTGGAAGAGAAACCAGTGCTCTCAACCTCTGAGTCATCTCTCTAGCCTCAATCTACCCTGTTTTTAAAGACGGAGTCTCTCTCTGACCTGAAGCCAAGTAGGCTAGACTGGCTGGCCAACAACCCCAGGATGCACCATCTGGGAGAATTTCTCCATCTCAGAGCTGGGATCATATATTTAATATGTCACCATACTCAACATATACATGCATACACACATATACATACATACACACATATACATACATACATACATACTATGTGTTTTTTTTTTTCAAATAGGTTCTGGACCTTGAACTTAAGTCCTCATGGTTGCAAGGCAAGCACTTCCCAGACTGAACTGTGTCCACAGCCCTCCCCAACAGAGGTTTTAGCAGTAACTATCATCCCATTTTATAGGACCTCTACTGAGGCTCAGAAAGGCCTTAACTGGAGTTCTGTTGTTATTTATGATGTTGTAGCTACCTCAAACCTTAGAGGTTTAAAAAGGAAGTGGATGATTCTCTCTCAAGATTCTCCAAGCTAACTGGGGGGTGGGGGTGGGGTCTCAAACTCCGTGCAGTGGCAGCTGGGGTATCTCAGGTGAACATAATCAACTGGCCGCTAAATTGGGCTAGAAAGTCAAAGGTTTCTCTCGTGAATGGCGCTTTGATACTGGCTGCTGGCTGGAGGCCTAAGCTTTTATCCTCACGACCTTTATTTTACAAATGTATTATTGTTATTTTTGGTGTGTATGTGTGATGGGTACGTGTACCATAGAGTGTTCGTGGAGAACTCAGAGGCCAGCTTCGTAGAACTGGTTCTCTCCTTTCACCTTTATCTGAATTTCAATGATTGAACTCCGATTTTCAGGCTTTGGCAGCAAGCCCTTTTACCTATTGAGTCATTTTGCTGACCCCTGAGGACATTCTGATGCAGACAGACTGAGCTTCCTGGAGTCCAGGCAGTTGGAGTCCAGGAGAGATGACTGTAAGGTCCACTATACAAACACTCACCCCCACTCCCTTCTCATCTGCTTTCTAATAACCAGAGAAGTTAAATTAGCCAAAGAAAGTAACAGAGACAAATCTAGAGACAAGAGGACACAAATTCTTGGAAGTATACCTCCTTGGGCATCACCTTTGTAATTAGTTAGCCTAAAAGACTTGACCAGGATCCCATAGATGTTGACTGTCATAGCTGGGATTCAAACCCAACTCGGACTAACTCCAAAGTCCACAAGCTCTCCTCAAGGGATGGTCTGGGCTGGTGTTTGGGTCTAATGGGAAGTCCAAGCCTGCCTGCTCTAGAGGAAAAAGTAGCATCTTTCTTTTGTGGGGATCCCAGCAGGCCGGAATGCTGGTGGCTCCATCATTTCTGGTCTCTTAGGGCCACAGCAGGACCAGTGGCATTTTTCTACACTTCTGTCTTTAAGACATATGATCCTCCTTGAGTCTCAGTTCATTTTCTCTCTTTTTTTCTGTGCATTTTTGTGGTAATTCCTGTGTGTTTCCATGTGTATGTGGAAGGCAGAAGTCAACGTTGGGTGTTGTTCCTTGGCTGTTCCTCACCTTGTCCTCTCCTCCCACCTTTGCTTTTATGGCTTTTGTTGTCATTGTTATCTTCGTCTTTTCTGTCTGTTTTATTTTGAGACAGATTCTCACTTGGCCGTCTGCCTTTGATTACAAACTTTTAAAAATATATATTATTTATTTTTATTTTATATGCACTGGTGTTTTGCCTGCATGTGTGTCACTGTGAGGGTGTCAGAGTCCCTGGAACTGAGGTTATGGACTGCCATGTGGGTGCTGGGAATTGAATTCGGGTCCTCTGGAAGAGCAGTCAGCGCTCTTAACCAGCCTAATCAGAAGCTCTAAATTAAAACAAAACAAACCTGGGTTCTATGAAATCAAACTCAGGTCTTCATGCTTACGGAGCAGGCCTTTTGTGCCCTGAGCTCTCCCCATGCCCCGGGATTTCATGGAATTCAGATTGACCTTTTACTCAGTATGTTGTTGACCACAACCTTGAGCTCTGATCCTCCTGCCTACCCGCTAGAGCTGCTCTTCCTGCCTCTGTGGAGCTCAGGTCCTCTTGAAGGAGCAGTAGCACCCTAGCTTTGGAGCCTCTCTCCAATCACACTGAAGGGAATTGTAGTAGGAAAGTAAGGATTGTGGGGATTGTCACAGAAATAAGTCCAAGTTTGAAGCACACTGTTGTCTTAGTGACCCTTGAGCTTGTTCACTGGTTGGCCTTTATTAAATTACTTTTAGAAATGTTAAACTTCCTCTGTTTTATGTGCATGAGGTTTTTGTTGTTGTTGTTTTGTTTTGCCTGCAGGCGCTTATGTGTATTGCCCATGAAAGTCATAAAAGGGCTTTGGATCCCCTGGAAGTTACCGATGCTTGTGAGACACCACGTGGGTGCTGGGAAACAATCTGGGTCCTGTGCAAGAGCAATAAGTGCCCAGACCTTCCCAGCCTTCCCTGATCTTCCCAGGCCCTCCTCCATCCATCCCTGACCTTCCCATGCACTCCCCGGGCTCTTCCCAGACTCCTCTAAACTTCCCAGACCCTTCCTACCCATCCCTGACCTTCCCAGCACCCACCTCCCCGCCCCTCCCCCGCCCCTAGCCTTCCCTGTCCTTCCCAGGCTCTCTCTAGGCTCTTCCCCATTCCCTGTCTGGCCTTGATAAGGAACACTGCTCAGTGGACCATAGCTGGACCCTTACCTCCTCTCTTCTTAAGGCCTCAAGACAACCATTGATTCATGCTCTGCTGTAAACAGACTACAATGCTCTACCACTGAGCTAAATCCCCAGCCCCCCCCTTATTGTTTTGAGGCTGCGTCTCATGTACCTCAGTGGGTCTGGCCTTGAACTTGGTATGTAGCTGAGGTTGACATGACCTTCTGAACCTTCTCTCCCCACCTCTAGAGTGCTAGGATTATAGGCATGCCCTGCATGTCCTGCCAGAACTCTTGACGTCAGATCACCAGGCAAAGGTCCTGGGACTGGGAGCTTTCAGGAAGTAGTCTAGGATGCCTGAGGTATCTAGGAATTAGTGGTGCTCTGTGTGGTCTCACTGAGGGAAGCCAGGCGAAATCTGGCGACTCAGCTTTAGCAGCCAGAGCTCTTGGCTCCAAGCAACAGGAAGCAATTCTGGCTTATTTAAGCAGAAAAGGACTTTTATCAAAATGATCTTGGAGAACTGGAAAAATAACCAGGAGGGCTGGCGAGTGGTTTGGAAAGCAGACGGAACAAAGGAAACCATGCAGCAGTCTGGATCATGGCCCAAGTCTGGCCAATCGGGTGACAAGTCTCAAGTGAAGTCTATAAAACCCCGGCATATATTGTCATGTGTGGACATGGAGATGGTCCCTGGTGCCCCAAGTGCCTCAGTGCCATCTGCTGTCACAATGGATCTCTGTGTTCCTCATGCCTCTGTGTCAGCTGACTCCTAGGTCTTAGATGGGGGGGGACATCTGATTGGTTGATCCTGAGCCCCAAGACAACTGGAAGAGTAACCATCTGGTAGTTTTAACTTTGATGGGCGACAAATAAGGAGGGTTCTGTGAATGTGGCAGCAGGGCCTGGATGGTGGTTGGCTGTCCAACTACTCCTGGAGCAAAGGAGAGTAGCTGTAATTAGAAACCTTGGGTTTCATTTTTCAATCCCTTCTCCTAGCAACCTTACATGAGCTGTTTATGGTCTTTGGATCTCAGTTGTTTTTCACTGCCTACCATCCAGCCTTTGAGCTTGTGGCAGGTGTTGTGTGGTGGCCTCTGCTCTACTCTGGGTTCTTGGGCAAAGACATGCTCCAAGAGTGCCAAAGCTCCAAATGCACTGAAGCCGCTGATTTTGTGTAATGCACAAGACTGTGGGTTTTGTAGTGTAGAACCTGCAAGACCCTGTTCACCAGCCCTGGTACAGTCCTTAATTCTTGGAACTCCAGCTTCCTTAGCTGTAAAATGGAGGTGTGGTACCAGCTATGCCACCTCCTTTCTAACCCTGTCCTATGAAGCCTTCTGACTCCAAAGGATGGAAATCTAAAAACTACATCTCCCAGACACCTTTGCAGCTGGGGCTGTGGATGAGAATTCAGTTTTGTTTGACAATTAGATACATTTGTGTGAGGTTCAGAAGGAAGGTGTGAAGCAGACTGTCTTCTGCTCTGGCTGTAGTTGCTGGACACATTGTGTGGTGGTGATGGAGGTTGTGGGGGGGTATGTGTGACAATATTTTGGCAATTGCTCAGCCACTGGTTTTTGTGGGTAGAGCCGGAGGCTCTTGTGGCTCTTGTGGCTCTTGAGAGAGGCTGTAGTGGCATGGGGTCTTAATCATTAGATCTCTGCTGCAATCTGCATCTTTAGAGGCAGCTCCCGCCCTCCCCCCCCACACCTTCCTGCTAGTGGCACAGAGGACAGCAATCTTGGGGACCAATTCAATGGTAGTGTTTTGTGAGTTCAGAGACAGTTCCTCTCAGGCCTTCCAGGAATTTTGTGAGGACCTAATTTCCCGGAGTAATTTCCTATTCTTGCTTAAAATAGCTGGAAACATTCTCTGTCCCTTGCAATTGGACTCTAGCTGCAGGAGTTGGTGACATCTCTATGCTTGTGGCCCGGGTGTTGATGAAATGTCATGTGATAGCGGGTGTTGCCTAGTACACTGTGTATAAAGCCCCTTGCAGATGGTTGGCAGTTTCCAAGGAAGGGCATGTCCATTTGCACCCAGGTCTAGATGTGAGTGGAAGACTTGTGCGGAACCACTCCATATTTTACCAGCTCCTACTCTCTCGTTTTACACAGAGTTACTGGGACAGAAAGCAGCCTGAAAGACTTTAGACTATTCCTGTGGCTCACCTGCTTCTTCAGGCTGAACTGGTGTTTGCTTGTTTGGAAGTGACAATCCCACCTCTGCAGAGTGATGACTAGCACCACAGAGGTGCCACAGACACCTGGCAAAGGTGACAAGCTTCCCTGGAAGAGAGAAAGTCAGCTGCCAAAGGACTCTCCCAGCCTTGTGCCCGTGTTGTCACCATTAACACCAGTATTATTACCTCACCATTAAATGTTTATATTTGTGAAGCCTTCTCTTCTGTCCCTCTGCCACCAGGTTTGAAGATCGACCTGAAAAAGGATCTCTTTCTCTGGGGAATGGCAAACATGTTCATAGCTATGGGACTGACATCTAAGAGTTTTCAGAGAAGCTAGCCTGTGATATTTGCCTGTAATCTGAATAGGATTAGAAATTCAGGATCACTGTAGCCAGATCGTGGCCAGCCTGGACTACATGAGACTCTGGTCTTAAGCGAACTAAACCAAAGTTTTCAGAGAAAAACCTGGAGAGAAAGACAATTTTGTCCTGGAATTGCCCGGGGGTGGGGTGGGGTGGGGTGAGGATTTCAAAACCCAAAGCTGGGCCTATGAGACCAGCAGTCTCAGCACAGGGGCTCTGGGGCCTCTGCAAGCCACTGAGGAAGGAGCAGAAAGTCCTTAGGTCGGAGCAAAACAGAGTTCATTAGAATTTTAGAGCCCTGCAGATTGCTCCTTGCCCCTCAAGGTTCAAATCTTGCAATTCTCCCCTTTGCTACTCTCTGGGACCCAAACCTTTCAACTCTTCTCCCTCTCCGCTGGCTCTTATCCACCCAGCTTTCTGCCACACAATGGAAACTTATTGTGAAGTGACGAGCCCGGCAGGTGGTTCTCAGATCCCCCCCCAGCTGGGTGGAAGCCCGGTTGGGCTTGGCTTCCAGAACAATCCAGGATCTTCAGGGGGCTCGAGGACAAGTGGGAGGGCTAAAGCGTTCAGCCCCAGTCATCTGCGAGACGGGGAGGACAGAGGGAGGAGATAAAGGCAGCTTTCCCCGGGCGTACCCAGTTGGAGCTGGTGCGGTTTGAAGTTTTGTGTGGTTTGGCAAAGTTCCTTATTCTTTGCTGTTTCGAAACTGCAGCAGTACACAGTGGCAAAGGTCACTGGACACCACAAGCCACCCCTGAAATGCAGGAGATGGCGGGTTTTGTCAGGCGCATGTCCCAAGATATCAGGGCAAGGAGAGGCCAGGCAGGTCCTGGCCACACATCGAACTCCCGGGTTGCGCCCGCTGCGTGGGGTGTGGATGCTTGCAAAAACTGCAACCTCTGGGAAGGCAAGCGACAATGCTATGGCTCTGGCGAGCTGAGCCGCTGCAGGCTGGGTGGCTCAACACTGCTAACTGGAAAGACTAACCCTCGTGTTCGGATTCCATCTTCTGCCTCACGGAGAAAGAGCGACGCTGGGGACACCGCCTGGAGCCTGCGCGCATAGCACCGGGAGGCTCTCCCTCCCACCCCAGGCTTCCCGTTTAACCATTAAAGTGCCAGAAAATCTGCAGCCCAAGCCGGCTAGCCTTCCATCCGCTGGGGGAGAAGCAGGCTCTCCGGAATAGGGCGTGGCAAGGCGGAGGGCACTGCAAAATAGAATCAGGAACTTGTGCTGGTTGGGAAGGAAGGCTAGGGAGTCTGTGTGGCAGGTCCCAGGGGGCTCACACCCTCCCAGGACTTTCCTGCCTCCGCTGAAGGTGGGGACAGAGGAGGAGGCAAGAGTGGAGAAAAGGACGTGGGAAGACACTGGTCACGGAGGAGACTATTTTTAGTCTTTGCTACAGCTGCTTGCGTTTCTCTGACGGACTAGTCAGGGACAATTCACCTGGCTGAAAACAGTATAAACTTTCCGCGGGGGTTGCGGGTGGAGGGCGGTGTGGAGGTGACCCTGGAGGGGTGGGGAGAGAGGTGGTTGGTGGTGCAGGAAAGGGACAGAGAGGGGGAAATCCCTGAAGATTCCTCATAGGCCTGACAGGAACACCAGAATCTCTCCTTAGTAGAACAATGTCCTCCCCACCTCAGATATAGCTCAGCTTTCACCATAGGTCTTCGAGGTGGGCATCGAAGTAATATACACTTTGGTGTAATATTTTGGAGACCACACAGGCAAGATTGGGGACTCATTCATCATGCTTTCTAACTGGGGACAATGCCTCCTGGGTGGCATCAGTCACAAACCAATCATTAAACAAATAGCAAAGATCTCAAACAGGAAAATAGAATGGGGGGGGGGAAAGAGGCTCTAGCGCGAGCGCTTTGGGGTGTGTGTGTGGGGGGGTGGAGGGTATCCTGGTTATTTAGGTCAGTAGTTCTCATGGTGTGGTTCCAGGATCCCTCTGATAGTCAGGGCCCTGAGATCCAGGACTTCTGAAAAGGCTTCTGTGATTGCAGTCCTAAGGTAGGCTGGGTTCTCATTAACCAAGGCCACATGTCAGTTTCCCAACTTAGCGGATGCCCCAGCAGCTGTCAGGAAAGAAGAAGAAGGAGGAGGAGGAGAAGAGGAGGAGGAGGAGGAGGAGGAAGAGGAGGAGGAGGAGGAGGAGGAGGAGGAAGAAGAAAGAAAAGATACTAGCTACTACCAAGTCTGAGGACCTGAGTTCTTTCCATGCACGGGACTCACATGATGGAAGGGGAAAAGCATCTTCCACAAGTTCTCTTCTGACTTCCCCAGACTGCCAGGACATGTGAACACAAACATATACACAAACACATAAACGTAACGTGTATGTTTTATTTACATTATGTGCATGGCTGTTTTGCCTGCATAGATGACTATCCTCTATGCACGCTTGGCCCACATAGGTGATCAGAAGGTGTCCGATCCCCTGGGAATGGAGTTACAGATCGACGTAAGCTGCCATGTGGATGTTGTGACCCTGGGTCTTCTGGAAGAGCAGACAGTGCTCTTAGCTGCTCAGCTGTCTCTCCAGCTCCCATACATGTAATTTTTAGAATTAAGAAGGGAAACCTTCAGGAGCTGAAATCTAGACTGATGGCAGAAGGTTACTATGTACCTTAATTATCTATTGTTATGCTATAAATTATACCAACATTTAGTGACTGAAAGTAACCAAACCAAAGCCTGGGCTCGTCCTCAGAACAGAAATAGAAATAAATAAATAAAAATAAATAAAGACACCCCCCTCAGATGCCAAAGAGGTTTATGAAATGTACAACTAAGCCGGGCAGTGGTGGCGCACGCCTTAATCCCAGCACTTGGGAGGCAGAGGCAGACAGATTTCTGAGTTCGAGGCCAGCCTGGTCTTCGAGGCCAGCCTGGTCTACAGAGTGAGCTCCAGGACAGCCAGGGCTACACAGAGAAGCCTTGTCTCGAAAACAACAACAAAAACAAACAAACAAAAAGAAATGTACAACTATGCCATTTTTCTAGATTTTTTTTGGTTTGGAAAAATAAAGTGGTGAGTTTTTTGTTTGTTTGTTTTTGATTTTGATTTTTTTTTTGTCGTTGGTTGTTTAGTTTTGGTTTTTCTGAAACAGGATCTCAGTCTATAGCCCAAGCTGTCCTGAAACTCACACTGTGTAACTCAGTCTGATCTTGAACTCCCAGCAGTCTCCACCTCCTGAGTGCTGGCTGAGGTTAGAGGCGGGAGCCACCACTTTAGTTGAGTGGAGCTCCGCAGAGCTTCACTGGAGCTGGAGTGACTGTGAGTGGTCCAACCTCCATGCTGAGAAACAATCCGTGTCCTCTAGGAGAGCAACAAGTTCTCTTAACCTTAAGCACTGAGCCATCTCTCCAACCCCTATTTGCATTTTTTTAAAAATCGAAATGTGCTATTGGTGGTACTATGTATCTTTGTTGTTTGTTTGTTCTTGTTTTGTTTTTTGTTTTGTTTTGTTTTGTTGAGACAGGGTTTCTCTGTATAGCCCTGGCTGGCCTGGAACTCACTCTGTAGACCAGGCTGGCCTTGAACTCAGAAACCCACCTGTCTCTGCCTCCCAAGTGCTAGGATTAAAGGCCTGTGCCACCATTGCCTGGCTGGTACTATGTATCTTAATGATCTATTATTAGGTTACAAATTATATCAGCATTTAGTGGCTGAAAGTAACGAATGAGTTTACTTTCACATGGTTTTGTATGGATCCCTGAAACAGGAGCAGCCTTGCTGGGTGGATGTAGCTCTGGGTGTAAACACTCTCTCCAGAGAGTGTAACAAAGGTGTGGTTCAGGGCTACAATCTTCTATCTCAGAGCTCCTCCGGGAGAAGAGATGGCTGCTGCTTTCAGCAATTACAATGGAAGGCGTGGATTCTGGGCAATCTTAGAGAGACTGTCAGTCGCAAATGCACCCAACTTCATATAGTCATCTTTATGCCTTTACCCATGGAGCCATCCATCTCTCTGGTCCTAAAGATTTATTTTTAACTTTTAATCATATGCTTATGTTTTTGTATGGTTATGTGCACATGTGAGCACAGGTGTCTGCAAAGTTCACAAGAGAGGAGCAGATATACAAACATTAAAAACTTTCCAAATTCTTTTTCTTTTTTTTGTAGTTTGTTTGTTTGTTTGTTAGATCATTTTATGTGTATGAGTGTTTTGTCTACAAGCATATCTGGGCACTACATGTGTGACTGTTGCCCAGGGAGGACAAAAGAAGATGTTGGACCCCTTGGTACTTGAGTTACAGATAGATGCTTTTGGGCCCTTGTGTGGATTCTGGGAATTGAATTGATTCCAGGTCTTCTACAAGAATAGCAAGTGCTTTTTAACCACTGGGCCATCTCTCGAGTATCTTCATTTTTATATTTACTGCAGGAAACACTGAGAGATATGGCCAATGCTGACAAAAGCTTTTGGCATCCTTAATAACAAAGGAAGAAATAAAGAAGACATAAGCCCTAAACCTTGGAGAACTGTTGGTCTCAGCATCAGGGTATTCACAGGGGAAGAATCTTAGCACAGTAGACAACAAGTCTATCCATCTGTCTCTTCATCCGTCCATTCATTGATCCTTCACCCACATACGTACTCATTCATTTGTCCCTCCAGCTATCTATCCAGCTAGCTTCTGTTTATCCATTCGTAGCCATCCATCTACCCATTACTTGCACATTCCAGTTGGCCTTGGAACTAGGGTAAAAGATGTGTGTT